CATTCACATCTTGGAGCACCGGGTTGAAGTCTGGTCCCTCTTTTCCTGTGGAGATATAAACAGTATCCTCCCTTGACCCTCCCTTTTTACAATTCTGTTAACCACAGTTTATTTTTTAAGGTCCTTGGAGATTGTGAATGTGACCTTTGGGCGATCGGATGTGTTTAAAGGTGTCATAAACAAACAGACAACCAGCTAGACTCACTGCCATCGAGTCAATCCTCACTCCTCTGTAAATGAGGGGCAAGTGATGGAAATCCTTCAAATAAAACATGTAATGTTTGTAGTCACTTATTTTCTGTCATGGTGTTATGTTTAATTTCACATTATTACTCATATTTTCTCTCATGATATTATATGTTTCATCTCACCTCATTACTCTTATTTTCTTTCATGATATTATATGTTTCATTTCACATTGTTACTCTTGGAGCTTAGGAATCACTGTATGAACTAAAAAGTCTGTGGTCCAACCATGATTAATAATTGTACCTCATTGGAGTTGATGGCAGTTGGTGAAAGAGTATGAGGAGGCTTCAAAATTTTGGTAGGAAAATTTCATTATCTTGTAATTCAAAATTTCACAAACATTTTGAAGCCCACCTGCAAAAGAATGTACCCTAAGATTCGTTGACTTTCTACTGTGTACAGGCAGAAAGCTGGGTGGGCACTAGGACTGACTGGAGTATCCCAAGGAGTTCATCTCTCAGTCATGATTTGCAAGTGAGGAAAATGAGGCAGAAAGTTTATGTTAACATTCAGAGTGACAAAATTTGTAATCAGGAGTCTAGCCTATAGTCCTAAATATGTAGGACTAGATAATCCATACTTTAAAACTCACACCTAAAATTGTTTATAATTCGCTTACAATTCTTCTAGCACACACACATATATTGATTTTGAAAATAATTTTTCAGTGTTTAAAATAATCCTGAAGTTTTAGTTCTAGAGCAGTTTCTCAACCTTAGCAGTGCTGGCAGTTTGGATTTAGTTATTCTCTTTATCTGGGGCTGGCTCGTCGCAGGAAGTTTACCTGTACACTCCTGCCTCTGCCCACCTAGATGGCAGTGCCATCTCCCTGAGTGATGGCAACCAAAAACGTCTGGTCGTGGGCAGATTTTCCTTGGAGGGCAGAAATCACACCCAGCAAATCATTGACTTAGAAGTGCAATATGTACCTTTTTAGGGAGAAACTTCACATTATCACTTTATATTTTTGAATAAGAAAATCATTCTATTTATTATTATTACTTTTTTGGTATACAACCCTCCCCTAAACCACATACCCCATAGTAAAGTGGTCACAATAGGTACCGTTAGAAGTTGCCTTTGTGGATAATCTAAGAGAAGCATCAGTGAACATCTCTTGTCTTCTTTGACTGCCTTTTGGTTTTTTCATTGTAGGAGGGAAAAAATCTACATTTTATCAGTTTAGCAGATTCTGTATGGCTTTAAATTCTTTGAGAAGAAAAGCAGAGACTAAAATCCGTGCAAATTTTGTTCATTGGCGTTCGTTGGATGAAAGTGTTGCATTAAAAAAAAAGTATTGCATTAAAAAAATTCTTCAAGCCTCTCGGGACTAATAATGAGAGTATCGATTCCAGGAGGGTAAGGGTAAGGTGGGAGGTGAAAGGGGGGACCGATCACAATGATCTATATATAAAACCCCCTCCAAGGGGAATGGACAATAGAAAAGTGAGTGAAGGGAGACAGCAGTTGGTGTAAGATGGAAAAAAATAATTTATTAAGGAGTCATGAGCGGGGGAAGGAGGTTTGGGGAGGGGGGGAAATGAGCTGATTGATACCAAGAGCTCAAGTAGAAAGAAAATGTTTTGAAAATGATGATGGCAATATAGGTAGAAATGTGCTTGGCACATGGATGTATGAATGGATTGTGATAAGAGCTATAAGAGCCCCGAATAAAATGATTCAAAATAAATAAATATTCAAGACTGTTAAAAAATTCTTCAAGTATGGGTTGGAAAGAGGGAACAGATTACAAGGAACTATATGTGACTTCCTCCCTGGGGGACGGACAACAGAAAAGTGGGTGAAGGGAGACGTCGGACAGGGCAAGATATGACAAAATAACATATAAATTATCAAGGGCTCATGAGGGAGTGGGGAGCGGGGAGGGAGGGGGAAAATGAGGACCTAATGCCGGGGGTTTAAGTGGAGAGGAAATGTTTTGAGAATGATGTACAAATGCGCTTTACACAATTGATGTGTGTATGGATTGTGATAACAGTGGTATGAGCCCCTAATAAAATGATTTTTTTTTAAATTCTCCAAGTGTGGTTAAGAAGAGAAGTCACACTAACGACAGATGCAGTGATGCGTGTGTGCTCCTTACCCCTTCTCAGTTACACCGTTCTTGGCACAAGCACATCCACTGCTAAAATTGGGGTGTGCCCTTCAGGGGCATTTATTTGCCTTCATGCACATCATATACACGTTTAGGGAGAGGTGTGTCCTTAAAATATACAGAACTCCAGGACTCAAGTTGAAAATGTTTTGGAAACGATGGTGGCAACATATGTCCAACTATGCTCGAATATGATTGTTGTATGGATTGTGATAAGAGCCCCACTAAAATGATTGATTAGAAATGATTAATAAATGATTGATATTGATATATTAATAATAGCTATATATAATATATATTAATAATAGCATAATAATATGCTATTATTACTATACAGTATACCATATA